ATGTTGAAAGACAAGCAGGAAGAGTACCACAAATTGGAGAATGAAACTACAACTCAAAAGAATATTGTATCCAAACTGCAGGCTGAGGCTGAAAAGCTTAATGAAGAACGCTCGCGTCTCAGGCAGCAACTTGAAGACAGAGAAGAAATATTGAAAACTGTGACACAACAATGTCAAAAACACAAAGAGGAACTGAATGACACAAACAAGACTGTGAAGTCTCTGAGTGACCACACTTCTGTCCTAGAAGAAAACATCAGAAAGCTTGAGTCTGAAGCAGGGCTGAGGCAAACAGAGCTGCTCGGCCTAAACAGTCACATCCAGAAGGTGACTGAGGACAACCACCACCTTCGAGCTACATGTGAACTGAGAGAAAAGCTTGTTTCCGACCTTGAAGGACAGCTTAAAGTGACTCTTGAGCACAACTCTAGTTTTAGCATGAAAATTAGCAGCCTAACAGAAGATAATCAAAGACTGCAGGATGAGTTAGCACAGAACACTAAGTCTCTGTCTGATGTAGCCACTGAGAGGAGTTTCCTCCAAGAAAAAAATTCAGGGCTTGAAATTCAAATCTCAGACAATCAGAAAATAATTGATAGCCTGTTGAAGGAGAAGGAGCAGCTTACTGTAGCAGCAGATGAATTAAGAAAGGTCCTCAAGGAAGGTGAACTGTCACATTCCGCTGGCTTGCTTGAGAAAACAAGTGAATGTGATAATCTGTCAAAAACGTTAAGAGAGAAAGAAGAACAACTTCAGAGTTTACACAAGCAAGCTGAAACCTTAAAAATGCAAGTTAGTCAACTCACAGTCTCCTTGAATGAGAAAAAGCAAACGGTGACAGAGCAGCGTTCCCAGCTAGAGGCTCAGCAGAACCAGCTGCTGCAGCTTCAAGATACTGTGTCGATGCTTCAGGAGCAGGGATCTGTTCTCAAGTCAGGTCTGATGGAGAAAGACATGGTGCTTCAGCAGAAAGCTGAGGAGTGCAGTGTTTATCAGAAAGACGTCCTGCTGCAGAGAGACCTCATATCACAGATGCAGGGTGAGGTGGAGGCACTCAGGCAAGAGCGCTTGGAGGCAAACAAGCAGATAGAGCAAAAAGAGCAGACACTGAAAGAACTAACAAATGAATTTCAGAAGCATACAGATGAGCTGGATAAGCAAAACAACTCAGTGATTTCACTCAGCAGTCAGCTCAGTGCTATGAATGTGAATGCGGCAGACATGGAGGTTGAAGTTACCAACCTAAAGGCTGCTGTGCAAAAGCTCAGTGCAGAAAACAGCCAGCTGATACAGCACGAGGACCAGAGAAAGGCAGAGATCGTCCACTTAAAAGACAGCATTCAAGCACTAAGTGAACAGAATGCAAAATTAAAATCTGAACTTCAGAAAATAGTGATGGATCTGTCCAAAGCACAAGAAGAAGTCACAAATCTCAAAGCAGCAGTCAGTGATCGGGACAAGGAACTCAAAACTGCATGCTCAGAGAGGGAGACTCTTAATTTGACCATGCAAGAAAAAAATGACTGTCTGAAGCAGCAGGAGAGTTTGGTCAAGCAACTCTCCAGTAGGATTGCTGAGCAGGAGGATCAGCTGAAACAGAAGGCAGATGACAATGTCAGTTTAAGTGCAAAAGTTTCAGAGCTCAAAGATTCTGTCTGTAAACTTAGAAGTCAGGTTGACAGTCTTACTTCAGAGTCAGCCCTACTGAAAAATTCTTTGGAGAAGAAAGAGCAGCTAAGTCTTGAATATCAAAGTCATTCTTCAGCTGCTGCTGAAAATCTTAATTTCAAGCTACAAGCCAAAGAGGCAGAGTGTGAGACCTTGAAAGAACAGATTTCACACCTTGAGGAATCTGTCACAAAGCTCAACAACGCCGTGCAAGGACAGGTAGCCGAAGCAGACGATCTGAGAAAGGCAATGAAAGAAAAAGAGGTGGCTCTTTTGGACAAATCAAAATCTCTTCAGGACATTCAGAGGAGAGCAGATGAGGCTTTGCTCTTCAAAACTCAGTTCATGGAAAGTACAGAGCTGGTGTCACAGCTGCAGAGTCAAATTCAGTTACTGTCCACCGAGTCTGAAAACCTCAAGAAGATGGCAGAAGAAACACAAAGTGCCTTCACTCACCTACAGGAGAAGCATGCAGCTAAGTTGGAGGAGTTGCAAGATGTGAAAAATCAACTGTCCCAAAGGACTGATGAGGTGTCCAGCCTTAGGAAGTTACTCGATGATTCCAGTAGTGAACATCAGGCAGCAAAGACCGCCATAGAAACACTGAGAAATGAGTTGTCAGCCATCCATCACAAACTTCAAAAAACTGAAGACCTAAATGCTAAGCTTTTAAAGGAGAAGGATGAAGTTTTTGCTTCCCATCAGGCAAATGTGTCACTTCTCACTGTTGAAATAGAAAAGCTTAAATCCCAACATCTTCAAGTCACAGGACAAATGAATGCACTGACAGAAAACCTGGAACAGAGAGAAATGGCTCTCCATGCAATTAACAGTCAGTACACGGCCCAGGCCAAACATGCGTCTCAGCTGGTTTCAGAAATGCAGAAACTAGAAGAGCAAAATAAGAAACTAAACAAGGAGATTACTTTGTTAAAGCAGGAGCACCAGAAGTATCTTACTGTCACTAATGAGAACACACATTTACAACAGGAAGTTAGGAAACTTATCGTAGAGAAGGAAGAGCTGGAAAGGAGACATCATCAGACATGGACGTCGCAGGCGGAGCTGCAGGTTCAAATGGAGCGGCAGTCCAGCAGCACCAGTGAAATAATGGGGACACTGGTGTCTGAGAAGGAGAGGCTTCAAGCGCAGGTTAGTGCCAAAGATGAAGAACTTTTTCAATTAAGAGAAAACATTCAAAAGATAGAGCAAGTACTGCGGGACTCTGAGAAGGAGTGGCTGTTAGTACTGGATAGAGAAAAACAGGAAAAGAATCTACTTGCAGAACAGTTGAAAAGTGTTGAAAATGAAATGAAATCTAAAGATGTTAAAGTCAGTGCTTTGAAACAAGACTTGGACAGTTTGCAGGAGAAACTAGCAGAGGCGTCCTTGGCAATTAGACAGGGTTCTGATCAGCTGAACGCAAAAGAGTTGGAGGCGTCGGCGTCCAGGATTCAACTTCAGAAGGTATTAGCATCTGTTCAGGAAAAAGATTATGAGAACAGTAATTTGCAGCAGGCTCTAAAATCTGTGGAACATGAGTTACAGACCCTTGTAGTGAGAAAAAATGTTGCTGACAAAGACTCATCATCTGCTTTGAATGAAGGAAAAGCCTCTTTACAGGACATGATACAACAGTTAAAAGAGAGGCATCAGTCTGAGGTCGATTCTTTGAAAAATGAGCTGGATAAAGCTGTTGCACAATTACAAAAAGCACAGAATACACTTAATGAGGAGCAGACGAGTAACAATGAGAAGGGCCAGCAAATTGCTCTTCTACAAGACGCTGTAGAGCATTTACAGACTCAGCTCAACGCCGAATCAGAGAAAATGAAAGCATCTGCTGTCAAACACTCCGGTTTACACAGTGAACTGCAAACAAAAGATGAGCAGATCAACTGTATGAGCGTTCAGATAAGTCAGCAGAAGGAGCTACTTGCTGGACTCAGTCAGCAGTTAAGGGACAAAGATGCTTCTATTGCACAAGTCATAGAATCTGTCTCAAATGAAAGAATGAAGCATGGTGAGGAAAAAACATCTCTAATAGCACAGTTAGATGGCATGGAGCAAGCACATAAGAAAAGGCTTGATGAGATGTCTCAGCAGTTAGAAGAACATATGTCACACTCCCGAAGAGAAATGGAAACCAAGAATTCAGAGAGGGTTGAGCTGATTAGGAAAAATGATGATCTTAAAAGTGAGCTAGCTAAGATGTCTAAAGAAAAAGATGCAATGAAAAAGAAGCTTCAAGCTGCTCTAGTTGTCAGGAAAGATCTACTGAAAAAAATCGAGGTGTATGAAAGCCAGAAAGAGGAGAGTGTAAGCAATAAAACGGAGGTTTTACTGTTACAGGATAAATTACAGGAAGTAACAAATCAAGCTCAGGTTACGTATCAAGAAAGTTGTTCTCTTTTTGAAGAGAAACTTGCTGAGAAAGAGCGAGAGATTCTTGAACATAAAAGACAAAGTGAAAGACTTGTGGAACAGTTACAGTCAGAAAAACAAATGTTGCAAACCACATTAAATGAGAAAGAAGTTTGCTTGTCAGAAAAGTTGCAAACACTCGATGAAAAAATCTCTATGATCAAGCAGCTGCAGTCCAGTGCTGCTGAGAGAGAAGACGCTTTTGTGCATGAAAGAGACGGCTTGATACAGAAATTAGAAGAGCTTCAACATCAAATGAAGACATGTAAAGATGAACTAAAGGACAAATCTTCCTCCATTGCTACAGCTGTTGATTTAGAAAATGAGCTTGCGCAGATGAAGGTAGAAAAAGCGACACTACAGAAAAAAGCCCAGGCTGCTTTGCTGGCACGCAAAGAGGCAGTGAAGAAGGCTCAGGAAAATGAAAAGAAATTAACTCAAGAACTGGCTGAACTGAAAGATGACTACAAGGCTCTCCTGGAGCAACGCTGTCAGCAGACAAACGAGCTAAACGCTGTGCAGTTAAACTTTGACGAGAAGGTTAGGGAACTGGAAGACCTCCATCAAACCTCGCTGGCTTATCGGGATGAACTGGACACTTTGAGACAGCTGGTCGAGGAGAGGGACAGGACCCTGCGAGATCTGAAGATGTCTCTGGCTGAGAAAGAGAGCCAGTGCCATTCTCTATTAAACCTGCAAACAGAGATGGAAGATCTTAAATCCAAAGCTGAGAGCAATTGTCTTGAGTTAGCAAGTAAAGATGAAGCTCACATAGTCATGGAGCAAAGAACAGAAGCTTTGAAATCAAAACTGCTCACAGTAGAGAGGGAGTTAGAGAAAGCTCATGCAGAAGTTAAAGAGAAGACAGAAGAGATCGAGAAATATCAGGAAACAATCAAAGCCGCTGTGCTAAAGACAGAACAGGAGAAGCAAGCTTTACTGAATGAAAACATGGCTTTACAGACCCAGCGAAATCTCTCTGAGTCTGCACTAAAGGAACAGATAGAAGAAAAGGAGGCTCTTTTAGAGCAAAGTAATCAAATGAAAGTGGAACTTGAGAAAGCAGTAGCTTTACTTTCAAAGAAATCCACTGAAGTTTTAGCTTTCCAAAGGGCATTAGCAGAAGCACAGCAGCAGCACAGTGACGACAGAGGCATTCTGACCAGGAAGCTAGAAGAAACAGAAAGGAGTTTCGATTTGTTAAATCAAGAAAAAGGAAATGCTGTCAGATTAACTGATGGACTCAGAGGCGAGGTAACCATGCTGAACAAGCAGCTGAGGGAGGCAGAGAAACAAAACGAACAGCTACATCAAAAGATCACTGAAACGTGCATCAAACAGGAAGATGGTAACAAAGAAGGGGTCTGTCTTTCTTGCAGCTGTGCTGAAAACTTCACAGTGAAACTAAAGGAGAAAGATGATGCCTTGTTAGTTTCTCAGGCTCAAGTTGCAGAGAAGGAAATGCTAATTGCTGAACTTGAATTGCAATTACAGCAGCAAACTAAAGTGCATGAAATTGCCATTGAAAAGATGAAAACAGAGACCGGTGAGCTTCAGAAATCTCGAGAAGACGGCACCAGAATGAACAATCAGGACAACCAAAGCAAAACTGCTCTCCTAACCAGGAAACTTCAAGCAGCTTTAGTTTCAAGAAAAGAACTCCAGAAGGAAAATGCAATACTGAAGGAAGAAGTAGAGAAGCTCTCAACCAAGCATGAAGCTAAAGAAGCAGAGTGTGTTTCTCTGGAGTCATCAGTGTTGATGCTGAAACAACACAACGTGGACCTGGTGAGTTCTGTCTCATCTTTGAATAAGGAGAAAGATGATCTCAGCGCCAAGGTAGATCACGTCCTTAATGATAATCACAGTCTGTCAGCAGCCTGTGACAGCTTGAAACTCACCATAGAAAACATCACTCAGCAGAAACAGGCTTTCTCATGCCAGCTTGAATCTCTTAAGGACTCTCAAACAGAGGAGCTGTCGAAGTGGAAGTCACAGCATGCTGAGCTGAAACAAGAGTACGAGTCTCTTTTACAAGCTTATGAAAATGTCAGTAGTGAAATGGATAAGATGAGACAGCTTTTGGAGGGGGCCAAAAAAGATCGTCAGGAAGCCCTTCGAAAACTACACAAACATGAGGCCGAGATGGAGGTTCTGGAGAAGCAAGTCAGAGAGATGGAGGAGGAAAACGAAAGGATTAAAGAGCGAATGCACAAGTTTTCCAAAGAGAAATGGCAGAGGATTGAGGAGCTGGAGGAAGAGAATAAGAAAACTAGAGAAGAGCTGACTGAGGCTGATGAAAATCACAGGCTGGCAACTTGCAAGCTGACTGAGAAAAACCAACAACTCGAGGCTGAGATTTGTCAACTTAAAGACTCATCAGAGGATCTCAGAGTGACTCTTACCAAGATGCAGGCTGAAAATAGCCACCTGACAGAAAAGCTCGAAGAAGCTTGCTGCTCCTTGGAAAAGAAGCACTTGGAATCAAATGCATACACAAACAACATGCAGCTTAAACTTGATGAAGCACTGAGTTTAAATACTTCACTGACTGCCCAGATTGAGGCCCAGAAAACAGAACTTGGTGCTCAGTTGGAAATCAACAACTTGTTACAAAAAGAGAAGCAAAGTCTTTCAGAAAAAACTGAACAGATTGAGAATAATCATGAATTACAGCTGGGAAAGAAGGACGATGTCATTAAAGAGCTGAAAGGTCTTATTAACAGGCACAGCCAAGAGACTGTCAGCCTAAACGAGAAGGTCAGGATCCTGGAGGATGACAAATCTCTTCTGCAGGAAGAGCTCGAAAATGTCCAAGAGATATCCGACAAAGTGAAAAGTGAAAATGAGTATTTGGAAACTGTGATCCTGAAGAACGCTGAAAGAATAGATGAACTGACCGAATCTGTAAATGCTTTGCAAGCCCAAAACACACAGCTGTCCTCTCAGCTTGTAGCTAGTAAAGAGAGGAGTAATCAGGTTCGTCAAGAAAAAGAGGAGGAGCAGCTGAAATTAGTCAGAGAGTTTGAGGAGAAACTCAAAACTGTTCAGAGAGGCAATGAGGGGTCCAAGAACATGAAGAAAGAGCTGCAAGAGTTACTGAAAGAAAAGCACCAGCAGATAAATCAGTTGCAGCAAAACTGTATTAAATACCAAGAAGTGATTTTAGATTTAGAAAGCTCTTTGAAGAGCTCGCAGTCGGCCTGTGAACACCTGGAAAAAGAACTGAAGAAAAGTTCAGAGAAGATCTCGGTTTTAGAGGAGAAAAGCAAACAAGTTGAAGCTGAGCTGATCACACACAAGAATCTCCTCCAGGAGGCCACAGAAAGGTTTGTGAGTGTTGAGTCTGAGAGAGACCAGCTGGCTCTGGAAGTATCACAGCGCAGTCAGCAGTCCAAGGCTCAGGCAGGGGAGAAAACAGAGTCATCACAAAATGTAGATGAGAGACAAATACATTCATACATGCAGAAGCAGTTTGTGTTACAGCAACAGATTGATGACCTCAAGGATTTAAGAGAGAAGGAAAGCCAGAAAGTGGATGAAATGAGGCAGCAGTTGGACTCCCAGGATCTACAGATAAACACCCTGAAGAGAGCAGCTGAGACGAATGAGGCCAAACTGCTCGCGTTGTCCTCCACTCCTCAAGGTGCAGATGCTACAAAACGTTGGGATAGTTTGTTCCAGAAGAGCTTACACGAGAAGGATAACCAGCTCCTCGAACAGGGGTTTGTGATCAAAAGATTCCTTGAAGACATGAGACTGAAAGACAAAGAGGTGAATGAACTGCGAGTGACCAAGTCAAGGCTGGAGAGGACACTGAATGAATACTCTGTCGCTGCCGCCGCACAGCAAAGACAGCTGTTCGTACTGAGCGCCAGCAATGCTGAACTCTCGGAGTCTGTGGAGCTTATAACGGTGCAGGTGAAGGAACTGAGTGCCCAGGTGGACAGGTTAGAACAAGATAAGAACGCACTGAACCGACGGCTTACTGACAAAGAGGATGTGATTTCCCAAATGCAGCTAAATCTCCAGCACATGGAAAAGATAAATTCAGATACAGATGCTCAGCTGCACCTTTTACAGTTGCAAAATGACAGACTTCAGGCTGATGCTGAGAAGCAGGAGGGAATTTCTCTGCAGCTGAAAACACTTCTCCAGAGCAAAGATGCAGAGATCTCCTCCTTGCTGTCCTGTAGAGACGGACAGATGTCCGGATATCTGGAACAACTTCAGGCTAATTATTGCTCCCAGGCAGCAGTGTATGAGGACAGGCTGACATCTTTACGCTACCAGAAGGAGAAGGCTGACAAAGAGTTCAGAGGGCTGGAAGCCAAGGTCAGAAGTATGCAGCTTAAGGTTAACAGATCTGTCCAGGAAAAGGAGCAGATGGCAGCTAAGATGGAGTCACTGAAGAACTCACTGGTGTCTCTACAGAGTGAAAGGGAGCGGCTGGTGTCACAGTACAGAATGCTTGAAGCAAAGAGCGAGTTAGGGCTGAAAAGTAAAGAAGGCTCTGCTGATGGGGAAGGTGGCGCAGCCAAAGGTCTTAAACATGAAATAAGGAAGTTGTTACATCAGATGGATGATCTCAATTCAGAGAACGCGATGCTCAGGGCTCAGCTGGTTCGATACAGAGAGGATCTGAATCAGGTTTTATCTCTGAAGGACAACCAATTGAAGGTGCTGCTGAAGAAGCAGCAGGATGTGATTAAAAACCTTGAAAATCAGAAGGATGCAGTTGAAAAACAGCACAGAGAGTCTCAGCTGGAACTCCAGAAAGAAGAGGAGGCAAGCAGTGTGCTAAAAGCAGAGATTACTAAACTTAAAACTCAGGTCTCAAAACTGGAAGCTGAAATATCAAATCAGAAAAAGGAACAAGCCACAACAAATGAAGGCAAAGTGATTGTTGACCTGCAGGTGGCTGTGGCAGCCAAAGCTGCTGAATGTAATGACCTCCAGCAAAACCTTCTCTCTCAGAAAATCTTTGCCGATGAGCTCAAGGACAAAATGCAGCAGGTGGAAAAGGAGACCGACAGAAAACTGGCTGAAGCAGAGGATAAATACAACAGTGAGCTGGATGCATTTGAGCGGGAGGTAGAGCTGATGAGGAGCGAGCGAGAGACGGCTGATCAGAGGGTGGCAGAGCTGGCAAGAGACCTCCTGGAAATGGAGCAGCAGTTATCAGAGGCTCAAACGCAAAGTAAAGACATGAAGGTTCAAAATGAGTCCCTGTGCAAAGCCATGGCTGCTTTACAGAACGACCGTGACCACCTCATCAAAGATTTCAAGGTCCTGAGAAACAAATATGACGAAGAACTTCGAGAGACTCGAGCAGTCTTGAACAAAGTCGAGCGCAGTCTGCAGGATGCTACTTCAGATTTGGCGATGGTTGCTAAAGAGAGGGACATCCTTGTTCATAAATTAAAAGCAGTTGAGAGCAAAGATGCAAACACAGAGTTGAACAAGCTGCTGGATGAGCTGTCGAAGGCCCTGTCAGAGAAGGAAAGGGAGCTGAAGCAGGTTGTCCTGGAAAACAGCACATACAGCAGGCAGCTGTCGGCATTCTCCAGGTCCATGGCCAGCCTCCAGAACGACCGGGACAGGCTGATGGATGAGTTGGCTGGGGCCAAACGAGTGGTTGAGTCCAGGCAAGGGGCGAGCCCACAGACAGTCGCTTCCATGAGTGCCGACACATCTAAAGCAAGTGGCATCAATGCTCTGCAGACTGAGAAGGACAGGCTGGTAAGTCGAGTCCTCAGCTCTGACTGACTAGAGTTTGGCTGTTGCTTGCACTTGTCTTTCTGCTGTGGTTTCATTGTGTGAACAGCATCCATCCATCCATCCATTTTCTTCTGCTTATCCGGGACCGGGTCGCGGGGGCAGCAGTCTAAGCAAAGATGCCCAGACTTCCCTGTGTGAACAGCATGCAGTTAGATTTGTTTTCTTTCATACCATGGCTTTGACTTGCATGGTATTCATCTGCTGGGATGTACATGTTCTGGTGTCCATGACATCTTCTGCTTCATTCCATGTTTTGAGGATGATTAGTTTTGCCTTGGTGACTGATGACTTCCTTCTGCTACTCTTTATGTTTTGCAGAAGATGGATGAGCTACAGCAGAGGGCACAGACTTTCAGAAAACCACCTGAAGAAGAAGTCAGCAGCTCCCAGGGAGAAGCAGCCAACCTGAGGTAAAAGCAGACTCGGTTTAAGTAAAAGTAAAGTAAACCTGTGGAGTTTCAGTTTGCAGTGTAGTGTCCCTAAAGGGTCATTTAAAAAGTAGCTGAAAATCTCAGTCTCTGACCTCTTCTGGTTCGAGTCAGGTGTTGGATTTGTGTGTAGTGGTCACATTCTGACTGAACATGTGTTGCCAAATCCTCTGGGCTCAAATGGCTTTCAGTGCAACAGACACCAGTAAAGGTGCTTGTGTAGTCTGCTTCAGTCTCATGGAAACTACTACAGCATGGTTACGCATGTGAGCAAATGAACGTTACGCTTACACCTGTAAGACTAAAGGCTTTTCTGTTACATAGGTCTGACAGAGAGAGGATGGCCACACCACTAGTCCAGGTAAGGTTGCGCACAAGTCTGAAGGTCATGGTCGTGTTTTGCAACATACATTTTAATCCTCTTAAAATACTATTTTAGTCTATGCAGTTGAAATTTAGGGGGTATAATAAGAAAATATTTTAGTTGTTTACCCTGTATGACTACTAAATGTGAACCGATGCAAACAGATGTCTGTTTTCAGTTTTTCAACCAGCATCTTTTTGCTCAGTCTTTTGTCTTATTTTTTCCTCTGTACTCCAGGAAACAGTTGCTCTGGCAGGACCGGGTGGAGCGGAGGGCGTGGTGAGTCGGCTGGAGGCAGACCGGGTTCAGCTCTGCACAGAGCTGCAGCGTTGCTTGTATGAGATCCAACAACGAGACCAGTACTTCCAGCAGCTCAACACCAAGGTATCAGACAGCTCAGTATAAGTACCTTGCTAAAACAAAACTTGATCTGAACATGCAGCTAAACACACTGGTGCAGAAGCAGACTGAAGTCTTGTGCATGTGCACAAACCACTCGTGCAATGTGTCCATGTTAGGCAGGCCTCAGTAAACATTCACATTCATACTGCTCCTAATGCCTGAGGTCCGTTTACTGCTCATTTCTTCTTGGATTGCTGTCCATTTCTAGAAAGGATATAGTTAAAGTGTCACTTCCATGATGAACAAAACAAATATTCCGTCACCATGTTTGCTGAAATAAACAAAAGCTCTCTGCACACCCCTCCTCATGGCTCTGTCTAACCTCCCCACAGCTGCAGCAGGCAGTGGAGGAGAGAGGTGCTGTTGCAGCTCAGCTGAGGGCTGTTTCCCAGACCCTGAGGGACACACAGAATCGCTGCCACTGGCTGGAAAGCCAGGTTCAAGGCCGGGTCCAAGGCCAGGTTCAGGTAGCTAATGTTAAACATGTTGCATGTGCGTGCTGCGTATGTGTGTAGTTGTTCTGTGGTCCTGTCTTTACTCAAAGCATTTTGTATCTACATTGTTTTTAGACATTGGGCTGTCACATCGTCCTCATAAACTGAATCTGGATTCCTCTGGCATTTTTATAAAATACCAGGGAGAAATCATAACCTGTGTGCTTCTGTCTCCTCACTTTCTTTCTCTGCTTTTTTGTGTCTCTGTAGTGTCACACTATGAAATATAGTCAAAACTGCTATGAAGATGATCTTAAACATTTCTTCTCTATGTGCCTGTGATGCTGTGTCCTCACCACCAGGGGGCAGTATTCGCTGCGGTGGCACCAGGAGCTCCACAGGAAAGGAGCAGCGACATAGTTGTGGCTGAAGCTGCAGAAGCTGGTCAGCTCCAGGAGAGGTGAGGAAAGCAGCCGTAAAATAGCTGTTTACATCGTGTTTTTGTTGAGCTGTTCAAGCACATGGAGATGTGTAAATGTTGTGTGTGTGTTTAGGCTGCTTGAGCTGGAGCAGAGTCTGGCAGATGAGCGAGCCAGGAGGGAGACAGCTGAGGAGGCTCTACGCCTTTCTGAGGACAGAGCCAAGAGGTGACGCCCACAACGAAGGCCGAGCCCTCACAAATGAATAATCCCGGCCATACACACATTACATTACATTACATTCAGCAGTGTAGAACTTTTTATGGTGTTTCTGCTTTGCAGTGTTGGCTCCAGTCTGCCCAGACACAGTCAGAGGGACTTCAGTATCGAGGTGGAAACGGACGAGGAGTGGGAAGCTCTCAGCCTCAACCCCAACCAGCCTCTAATAACTCGAAAGGTACGCAGGAGACAAACGAACCCTCCTTCGCAACTTCAGATAACCACATGTGAAGTCTGTTTCTTGACTGTGTGCTGTTTGTGCATCCAGGTGAAAGGCGGCGTGGTGGCGTGCCGGCGGTGGATCAGGGGGAGGAGCCTCTACTTCTCCAGGCTGCTGACAGGCCGCGTCCGCTCACGATATTTCTTTCTGGCCTACTTGCTCATGATACATGTGCTTGTCCTCATGTGCCTCACTGGTGCCCTGTAGCAAGGTCACACTGGGAAATCACAAACTGACTGAAGGGTCAAACTGGAAGCAGGCATTTGTATTGTTGTTTTAGTAATACTGCATTTTTAATCCTGTCTAATCCTGGTAAACACTACAGCTGGCTCATGTGCATCAGCCAGAGAAGCTCTTCTGTTCGTGTGCTTGTCGACTCACAGCCAATGATAAAGGTTTCAGCTCGCACTTGTCATTTTCTGATAGTTGTAATATTAATTTTAATAGTTTTTGTTAGTTTTTTTAATGAAAGGCTGAACTCATACGTTTCAGACGGCACAACACTGGTTTGTTTAGGTTAGCTCAGATTAGAGCAGATTTCTTTTCCTGACATGTTGTATGGTAAACGAAGCCTTAAATCACCAACCATCTTCCCCTTCCTTCCTTTCTGAAAAGGAGCAAAACTGTTGAGCCTTGTTGCCTGTAGTTTCAGCTACGATGCTATTATCACATGCACAACAGAGAGGCTCAAGAAAAAAGGGCATTGATGTGAACTTAATGTCAATGCCTGAGAAAGGGGCACGACGCTGCTGTTGGTTACACTACTGGACTTCATCTCCGCTCTGCCTCCTTGTCCTTCCCCTGCACTTGGAGCAAACATGCAAACATCCCATGTGTCAGTAACTGTTTGCACCAGCTGCTAATTGTTTCCCTGCCCGGGTTCCTACCTTGCACATAATCGTGATGCTGAGTTAAAACTATGCACTGGTTCTCCAAATGTGTACATAATCATGTGGCACTACACCTCTCCCCCCCGCTCCCTTTAAAGTGTGCAGCCAAAGGTGACCGTGTCCTTACCAGTAAAAGTTAGTGGGAGACGAGTTAATTCACTCCAGTATCATGGTGTGTGCCAATGTAAATGTACAGCATGAATAGCAGAGGATGTGACAGTACATACTGTATTTAAGGCTGTTCTCTATTTATGTGAGTGTCCCCAGAAAGTGTGCTGTCCACTCTCATGGACCGTGTGTATATATGCATTTCTTGTCGATGGGTATGAGATTTCTTTCTTCATTTTACAAAACTAGATCAGCTAACAAGTCAAAAATAAATAAAAAATAAAACCTACAATTCGTTTACAGACGAGACTAAAGGGTGCACGGTGTTTTTTGTCTTGTTAATTGATCCAGTTTTGTAGAAAACCACGGTAGCCGATGAGTTTGTGGCATGTTGGTGTAATGATCTGTACATAAAGGTGTGATTGATGGACAAAACTAGAAGCTGAATTATTTATGACACAGGTGAACTGACGGTTGTTCAGATGGCATATTTTCTCTGCTGCCTCTATTTTTAAGAGTTTGTGATGCTGTTGGCCTTTTTGACGGCATTAGGCTTCACTTGGTGCAATACTGGGTCACAGGGGAACTTTTTCACTTCAGTCTCAGAAAAAAAAACTGAATAAAGCTCCTTAAACCTTTCTTCAGTGTTTTCCATGCGATGTGCATCTTGCTAACAGTCTGTGCTGCCATCAGTCCCATTTCAGGTACCAGGTTGTTGCTTTGCTAGAAGATGAAGGGAACTTGGAGCTGAACGCTGAAGCGTACAATGGCTTCACATATTATTCAGTCTTCACTTTTTGCACGTTTGATTTTAATTTAAATGGATCAGGTTTACTTTTTGGCATTTAATTCTGCACACTCCTGATATGAAAGATTTCAAATGCCTAAAAAACTGAAATGCAATACCCATTCTTACATGTATTTCCTTCTTATCTATGCATTTACTATGTCATAATTAAATGGAAAACATGTTAAAAGGGTGGTGTTTTGTCTTTAAGAACTGACTGGATTGTCCTTTTCACCTTATATTTCCATGACAATAAAGTCTAATCACAGCACAATAAAGCGGAGTGAGGAGATGTGTTACTCGTGTCCAGCAGAGAGCAGCGTACACCTGCCAGTACTAAATGCAAATGGTTTACATGGCATAAAAATGCAAAACATCGTTGTTATAGGTTCCCGTGTGTAGGATTTATTGCCAAAAAACAAACAAAAGCTTCCCCCCTTCCCCTCTGTGCTTCTTTTAAAAATGAAAACAAGTCTGATGCTAATTTTCAGTGCAGCAAATAGTTTGGAAATTATAACACTGGAAAATTGATGACAGTTTTGTCTTAAAACACTTTGTTTTTGAACTTCAAAGAAATGCTCAGTGCACCTTGCATCGATGAATTGTTTGTAACTGTCTTTGTCTGAATCAGTCACTCACTTTCATCCCTGCTCTAATAAGATTTAATGGCAGCACTTTCTTTTTCCACTTCAGGTTTTGATGCCTGGTCATCAAAGTCAAAGAGGGAAGGATTCGTTTCACCCACACTATGACTTCCAGCAGCTGTTCTCCTGTGGGTTTCTGATGCTGTGCTGTGGTTCTTAGTGCTTGTTGTATTATACAGTGTCAGGTGAGCCAGATGCTGCAGCTACACACATTAGCAGTTCCATATTTTAGTTGCACCAAACTGCCAGGGATGAAGAATCCACAAAGGACATTGTGGCTTATTTCTAAACACTGCATCTCATCTGCAGAAAAACAATCTGCTGCAGACTTCTGGTGTCCAGGCTCAGTTATGCTCCTGTATTTCCTTCTCCTAGTTTATACCTGCTGAGTTTCCAAACAGGGCTCATTACAGTTTCAGATGATCATTTCTTTTCATACCAGTAACAGAAGCAACATGCGAGCCTCCACTGGAAGAATCAAAGTGCACAATAATCTCATTTATGTTCTTTTTGTGCAGAAAAGACCCTGGCAGAGCACTTCCCAGCACATTTCAGTCAAACTGGCTAAAACGTGTCATTAAAATGAACGTCTAACAAAGCAGGCACAGCATCCTCATTAAAACATCCTTTACTTCTCACAACTTTGCTTGTTTAGGTTTCAAACTCAAATGCTAGTGGGGTTTTCTTGTGCACGTTTTTTCCTTTGCCACAGCATTTCTCACAAAGTCCGTCTGTTTCAGGGCTTTTGCTCGCGTCACACGATCTTCATCGGCAGATGGACTTCCAGATGTTACAGCTGACGTTTTTTCTGAGACGTCTTGTCCAGGTAGGACTGGAGGTTGAGGTTGGACACAGCAGCTGAGACACACTCCCAGCACACAGTCCATTTAGTAGCTGCTCTGGAGCTTCACCAGCACTGCACACTATAACAGTTAACGACCGTACCAAAGTACTGCAATGAAAAGTACCTTCATTAAGCTTGTAATAGTCTAGTTTTGTTGAGGCTGAGACTGAAGCCCACTAATTCAGCTCTGTGGCCGACCTTGTGTTATTATTGTATTACATTATTTTGATAAGTGTCACTGTTATTTTGTCCATCCTGTGTGCGATGCTACTGGACAGAGGACAGTGATGAAAGAAGTATTCAGATTTTTGGCTTAAGAAGTACTGTACTGCAGTTACAGGTCTTGTATTCAGAGATTGATGCTCCACCACTGACCTGATGTGCACTGAAGCCACTTGATGGCAAAGTCTCCTGGTTTAGTAGCAGAACCTCAGACCAGAAATACCAGGGTGTAAAAGTGTTGCAGTATTTTCTGAGACACCGATCAATGGGAGTAAAGAAGTGGGTAGTTTATATAATTGTTCGTGGGTTTGGCCCACTTTTGATTTTGGAGTGATTTCAGCTGGCTTCCTGCCTCTGAGGTTTGTCTTCAGCCTTGTACAGAAGAATTTACCTTTTTCTTCTCTTGTTTAACAAGATCTCATCCAACATGATGTCCTGTTTTAGGCAGAAGGGCACTTACTATAAAGGATCAGGGTTTCTCAGTGTGTCTTCAGTCTCTAGCTGTCCCCCCGGCCACTGAAGAGAAGGGACACTGCACTCTTGGCTACATTCTGGTAAAAGTCGGTTTTGTCTGTAAAGATATGACACTCCAAGATTAGACATTATTACTAACAGGAATGAATCATCCCTTTTCACATTTATAAGCTTGATCTGCCCAGTTTTCTGCTTACAGCTTCTTGAGGAAACCACTCAGACTTGGCTCTAATAAAAGAAGCCGTCTCACTGGAAACCTGCGTCATGGGTCGATCCTGCAGCCTCCAGCTCGCTCACCCCTCTCTCTCCACCACAGTAACAACAGTCCTCCAGCTGCCAGTGACCCACTTGCCTCTAGCACCAGGAGAAGCGAACCAGAGGAGCCAGAGAAAAGGGGCGGGGAGGAGGGGGAGGTGAAAACGTGGGAGCCTGCTATGATTAATGTGCTTTCAGAGATGGACTGAGTGAGGGAGAAGGAGAGCAGTGAACGAGGGCACCCGAGATGCTATGTTCTGTTGGAGACAGGCCATGTAGAAGGTGCGCTCGACAAATAAATGAGTCCATCTTCATTTCAATGCATCAGCGTGAAACATCAGAGCATAAGGCACACTTGAGCAGTTCTGTCAAAAGGCAGACAAGTGCTGTAACTGTTTCAGAGGAGATTCAGTTTGTTCAGTAATGATGACTAACAATGTGCTGGGACAGCAGACAGAGGTCTCATCCAGTGAGCAGAAACCACCCAAGGGAAGCAGGCAGTGGCCATTTGATCACTGTGGTACCCCTAAGACTGATAGTTGGTAGTGACCTCCTCCTGCTCCCCACAAATGAGAGGGGCTGTTTGATAATTTCTTGGCAAAGACTTCAGTTTGCTCTGATGTTTTGCTTCATCTAACAACCTACAAACAGCTCAGGACAGATTTAAATCTGATCCTGGAAAGTGCACCTTTTTCTCTTTCAGCTGAAGGCCTTTTATCTGCCAGCAAGATTACATTTTTAGTTCTGCATGTTTGTTTATGTTCTGCAGGATAATTCAACTTAACTTAATTGTGTGGAAACAGGTTTCTGCTGTCAGGGACAAGCTGCTGATAATGTCAAGGGGTGAACTCAATTATAAGGCCAGACGAGGATAAGCAGAACACTGTCTCTTTAATAAGAGTACTGGTCACAAAACAATTGATACACACTGCAGGAGTCTGATTCAAAATGCATCACTCTCAGGTCAATAACACAGTCCAGGGTCAGAGCCAGCAAACTTACACATCCAAGGTATCCACAAGAAGCGCGGTCAGAAAGGTAAGTCCAAAGGACGATGCACAGTACACAATCAGAATCAGAGGAGACAGAATCATGACATCCGCCACTTGTTGGCATATTGTGTCCTTATAAAGTCAATGTACGGTGGCAGCAGAGCAACAATAACACTGGTGTGGAGCAACGTTTGTGCCACCGGATCAGCATGGCAAAGCCAGAAGGGATTCTCTGTGCTTAAACACAAGTGACACCTTTAACATGTCAGTCTTTCCTGTTAACAACAGCTTTAAGCCATAGGCCAAGAAAAACACGCACAGTTCAGGCTCGATGATGCCACCTACCTGTGACAGTTTGTAATGCACTTTACGTTTTGGCTCGTAATCTCAGCTCTAATCAAACCTCTTGTGTTTCCCAGATCCATGGTTCAGGGCCTAAACACCCATTTCTACCTAAAACATGTCCAGTAGTTTGGATTATTAAAAAACAACAACTTTTCCTTCCGTCTTTGTCATTGTGAACAAGGCTGGATTACCCAGCATGCCTTGTTCTCAGCCTTCAGACAGCCTTCTGTTGCCTCTGGGGCTGGGTGCACTGACTTGAGCCAGGTCCATCGTTCGGCTTCTTCTACTCCTCCTCCTCTGCTTCACTTTGGTCAAGGCTGGATTCATCAACAGCAAACTGGTCAGTTTGTGAAAGCTTCAGGTCCACGGAGAGTTCACTGGTTTGTGTTCATTTGACTGCACGTTTGCTGGGGAATGTCAGCACAGTACTCACTGACAGAGGGGCTTTGTCAGAATCTGGCTTTCACACCATCAGTACTAGAGTCAATATTGTGTTTACATGGAGCATTGTGGTAAATGAACCGTCTAAACCAAATCACCGCAAAGCAAACCCGAGCTTAGGTATCCAGCATAGAGAGACACGGAGCGAGACAGGAGCTTACAGCCTCATTTTGCCCCAGAAAAGGTGGAAATTATGAGCTTAAACCTTCTTCTTCCCTGCAGATTGTTTTTAAATGTATATAAATGCCTTTGTCACAGTGTCCTACACATTGTAATTCCCTGGAGGAAACTTTACAATCAAAGCAATCAACTGCACACCAGCATCAGTACCAACACAGCTCTCTCATCTAATGAATGTGTGAGACTTGCATATTAAATAACAATAAAACAACAACGTAGAAATTCACAAGTTTTTTTATTTATTTTTTTACATCAGGAAATGGACTTAGAAGAGTCACAAAGAATAAAAGGGAACCTTAAATCTTTGACTGCACTGAAGTAGATGCTGCTGCTGCTGGTGCCATGGAAGGTGCCTGTTGACCTGCGTGCTTGTGTTGTCTGGACACTGCAGGACGTTACTGCGTCACTGCTCTCACTTGCCTCCTATTCTCTTTTTAGCCTGACATTTTTTCACTGTGGCCTACATAATGTCCCACTTTGCAATCAGGTCTGCTGCTGGTGTGAGGAAACAGAAGGATGGAGACTCTCCCTGCGCTGCAGACTGCTGGCTGTGTGTGTGTGTGTGTGTGTGTGTGTGTCTATTCTCAACTTTCAGACTTGCCTTTCGTAACCTCTGAATTGGGTTCACTTGCAGACATGTCCTGACAGACACCTCGCGCCGAGCGTCACTCTCTGGGGGACTGCTCGGCCTTTTCCCGACTCCTCTTCTACTTCCTGTGGCTTCTTCATCTTCTCATTCTCTTTCTCTTTCTCTATTACAAGTCACTGAGCCCATCATGCACACGCTCACATGCCATTCAGTCAGTGAATCCATCACTTGTGCCAGGATGTATGAGCTTCTTCTTACTACCTGCCTTATTTCAAATGCTCG